CAAACGAAAAATATTACAGCAGATTATGAGAAGCATTTGTAATGCATAAGACAAAGGTTAACATTTTTAGTACATGAGCACGTACAAATTTATAGGAAGAAGATGAAAAACTCCATAGAAAAATGAGCAAAGGATGTGTGAATAGGCATTTCCAGGAAAGCAAATCTAAACAATAAATAAATATGAAAACCTGCTTTATCTTACCAGCAATCAGGAAGAATTACACTGAAGTAACAATAAGCCATCACTTCTCACTTATCAGGTCAACAAAAATTTTAATTGTGGGCAGAAAGATGAATTTACACATTCTGAATCACTTTTTACATCTATTTTAAAAAAAGGATGTCTCAGAACAATCATTTAATGAATATAATGGTAAAGGAAGAAATTATTTTGTATTGCAATTAGTCATACACAAACTATTTTAAAATTTTAGGTTCCCATGGAATGTATTTTGACCAGATTTTGACTTCTGTTGCTCTATCTTCCACACTGTAGGTCCTTCTCTGCTTTGAAGAATTTTTCAACTACTTTTGGACACTGGACAGTATTTTTTGTTTTTTTAAATTCCAGTTAGTTAACATACAGGGTTATATTCATTTTAGTTGTACGATATAGTAATACAACACTTCTATACAGCACTCTGTGGTCATCACGACAAGTGCACTCCTTAATCCCCATCCCTGACTTAACCCATCCCTCCACCCCTGGGACAGTGTTCTCTTGACTTCAGTACCACTCTGACCCAGGGCCACAGAAAAGCCCAAGTAACACACTCCTGAGTGCCTTACCCATGCAAGTTCTGGCCGGCCTGGTGGAATCCTGGCTAACTATACCCTTTTGTATCTGTGACTTGTATGATTCTTCATCTAGTTTCTCACAGCCAGTTCATTTCCTAGTTAACTCCTCATTCTCCACCTTCCCACATTCTAGAATCTCTCAGCAGGGTGCTAGGGCCAAGGCAGTCTTAAATACTTACTGTAGGAAATAAATTAGACTCAGTGCTAATTGTGCCTTGGGGTTCATTTCATCCAGTCTGGACCACCACACTTTTTCTTGAAAGATGCAGTCATTGTTTCTTGAGTCTACTGTGGTGAGAATGTGGAGAAGGATCAGGGAACAGGTGAGTGAGGAGAGGAGAAAGGCAGGCAGGCCAGCTGAAAGGCTATGACTATGTTCCTAATGAAAGATGAGAGCTATAAAAGGACACAACTAGCTCCAAAACAGATGGGGAATATGGAGTTTACAGGCCAACAAGGAGAGGCATGTTAAAAAAACAAGAAGTGCAACAATGTGTTACAGACCCTGTGACACTTCCTGTATGCATATGCAGTGGGGCATAGATCTGTCCTCTCTGGAAGGGGGAAAGCACAACAGTAGAGCAAGTCAAGAAAGGCTGCATCAGAGGAGTGATGCTTGCCCCGAGACAGTGCAACAGAGCCTTCCAGGAAAAGGGGAGGACAGGAGTCAAAGTACAGGGGCATGAAACTTCATGACATTTTCAAAGAATTCCAAGTAATTTAACGTGACCAGAGTAAAGGATTTAAGAATGAGATGACATTCTTAAAAGTCAGGTGACAAAAGGCCTGTTTGCCATTCTAAAAGAGTCTGGAATTAATCCTGTGGGGCAGAGAACAAGGAGCTGAAATAATAGATTTGCATTTGAGGGGACAAACATCTTTGGCAGTACTATGTTAGATGGTTTGGAATAAGGCAGGGAGCTCTTCTAAAGACCCAGGCATGAGGCAATTATTCTGTTAACCAGTGTCAGGCAATTTCACTGAGGTATTTGAGAAATAATGTTTTCCTTTCTTGCTGATGTAAAAACACCTAACTAAAACAATAAACAAACAGGTCTTCTTTTTTTTTCTTCTATACTCTATTGTAAACTTAGTTGTACAGTCTAACTTAATAAATGGAGTGAGGCTGAATAGCCTTTGGCATCAATCCCAGATGCTAAAACAGTGAGAAAACAACAAAACATGGAACATAATATCTATCCATAGATCCAATTGTATGGTTAGGGTTATGGAGTACTTTAAGAGTTATGATTTCCCTGGCAAAGTATCAAAAAAACATACCTTTGAAAATTATTCAGAACAGCCATTTGGCATCCTACCATGCTGACAGAAATGAAAAATGCGAGTAAATAGCCTACGTGTAATTCGCCACTCCTGAAGAAGTAAAGGAAGGATGTTTCCTAAGGCTTCAGCATGACATATTTTATGAAATAAAAACACGGTCATGAATAAAGCCAAGAGAAAAATGTCCCAACTTACTTAGAAAACAGTGTCAATCTATTTTTTTAAAATAGATATATTTTGTCATATAAAAGAATACCTGCAAGGCAATTCATTTCCAGTGATTCTTTGTGCTCTGGATTCCATTCTTTTTGCCCTTTTGTGTTTTCTAATTTTCTATACTGTGCATGCATTGCTTCCATGAGGAAAAAACAAAAAAACTCAAACCGTACGATCAGAATGACTTAGGCTGTCTTTCTCAGCTTTTAGATTCTAAATCAGCTTCCTAGTTCTGAAGATGATTAGCATAAACTGCTTTTGCAGTAATCTCCTAGTAGTAGCTTTGATTAAAGGCAAATTTTCTCTCCTCCAGTTTTTTCTTAAAATTTTATTTATTTATTAGAGAGAGACAGAGAGACAGAGACACAGGCAGAGGGAGAAGCAGGGTCCATGCGGGGAGCCCGACATGGGACTTGATCCTGGGTCTCCAGGATCACGCCCTGGGCTGAAGGCGGTGCTAAACCGCTGGCCCACCGGGGCTGCCCTCTCCTCCAGTTTTTAATGGTCTTCAAGGAAAAAATTTTTGAATTTTCAAAAATACAAAAGCTTCCCCTCAATTATTCTTGCCAGTGGAGGAAAATATTGACTCTACTATCCAAAAATGGCATCTGAATAAAAAATATCAGGTATATAAGTATATTATATTAGGCTCTATATGCAACTATATGATGGTTTGGGTAGATCTGCCTTCTGAACTAAATTTCTCTTTAGCCAGTATTAACATGACTCTATGCTTCTTACATGTTGGCTGGTAAATGAAGGGTAATAGAAATGGGGCTAGAATTCAAATTTTGTTGTGTATAATCTACAATTGTATGCTCCACAAATATTCTTCATGATGAAAATATAAACCACTTTTTCAAATTTACAGACCTGGAATAGGACTATGAAAGCAGAAAAAACGGAATGCTAACCTCTGCTGTGTCTGATGCAACGCAGATGTAAAATACTAAAACAAAACACCTGGATTCAAGAGTCCACTTTAGTACTTACTCTCAAAATCCAGCTTGTCATATTCAGGGGACACTCTTTTAAAAGTAGCTCCATCTGAGATCATAGTCAGCAAGTATTTCAGAAGAAATATGAAACACTCATCTCATAGGGTTAAAGAAAAGTGTCTGTCAAATAAACTGGGTGTAAAGTATTTCTCCATCCCTTAACACTTAGGAAGGGACTTGCAAAGAGAGATGTGTAAATATGATTTATCTGAAATTAAGTACATTGAACCTTCCCCAACACGACAAGAATTTAGATCACTTAAAGAAGTGTTGGATGTACTATTTATAATTTATAGATTCTTTTCAGGTCTTCTGAGACATAGTAACTTCCTTATGTTGAGATTTGTACCATCCCCTCACAAAAGCTCCCTCCCCAACCTCACAGGGGAGCACAGTATCTGAAACTTACACAGCCATACAATGTTTTAGTTAATAGGTACTTAATGTTTTACAAAATTTTTACACTAATTATTTCTCCCTCCCCTCTCTCAAAAAATGGAGCTCTCATGCTTCTCCTACCTTAAGCTCTGAGGGAAAACCACTGCCACCAACCCTTGTTGCCAGACCCTCTCCAAATTCCCCCATTCTGCTTTCAGAGCTCAAAAGAATCCATCTGGCTAAGAACTGTCAGAGACCAGGAGGAAAAAAAAGACCAAGCAGGACTGGCCAGAATTTGTAGCTGGAAGGGGGAGGAGGAAGGTTGGGCACATCACACACACACACACACACACACACACACACACACACACACACACACACACACATCTATGGCTCCTTACATTAGCGGATGTCAGAATTGTAGACTTTTTGGTGAGGTGCCAGTTTTTGTTGAGTCTAGCCCTGGGGGAAAGGGGATAATTGGAACCAGACGAGGATTTAGGGCCTCAGCTTATAGTGCTGAGTTGTAAGGTTGGGCTTCAGGCCCAGGAAGGTGCTTCCGGAAACTTCTTCAAGTTAAGTTTTCTTGGATCACCCATATCCACCTCCACCTTTTTCCCAACCATATTAGCCTAGCCTTGCTGATTAGCCACAACTCTCCATTCATCTGTTCTTTCCCACACTCCTCATTCAATAAATACTTATTGGTGCTTTCTGTGTGCCAGGTACAGATACAATAACGTGTAAGGTAGAGCCCTGGAAGGTTGTTGAAAAGAAATAGATGTGGAAACAGATGAACACAACTAAGTGCTAAAGGTTATGGTAGTGTGTTGATTGCATCAGGTGCGTAAAGGAGAGAACCTTGACTTCTTTATCCCACACACTCCTCTGGTACCATTAAATGCCCCTGAACCTGCTACTCACTGGTCTGCCCATCACAAATCCTGCCACTAAGTCCCTTGGAACATTCAATTAGACTTCCCTAGCTTATTGCAGCTAGATTTCCCAGTATTTTTTACTTTTCCACAAGTTCTCTTCCCTCATCTTAGCCCTTACTGAAACCCAACTTTCTCCTAAATGATGCCACTTTCCTCAAAAGCCTGTGCAATGGTGACTACTCTTTCTCCCACATTCCCTAACTCACAGGGTAAGAAAAATGTCAACACAACTTCTTGCTCCCAACTTTACTGCTTGATCATTTATCACTCAACTACCTCTTTGAAATGCATACATTTGCTTTATACCATACTTTCTTTACTTTTGAAAGGATGAGGATTCAGCCAAAGCCGCGGGCATTTTTCAACTCATCAAGTTTTACACCAACCTGAGCTGTAACCTCTCTGTATTCATTCATCCACTCTCACCCACGTTTCAATAGCAGCCTACATTCTGGATGGGTTTCTTCTGATGTTCAACAACATGCATTCAACAACTATTTCTGCCAGAGAAGTTTAAGAGTAAAGTCAAGGAAGGCAACAAAAAATAAAGTAAAATAGAGTACTTGTTGTGTTACAGTGCACATGAGCCTGTTTCTCATGTAAAATGTGGATAATAGTACCAACCTCATAGAATAATTGAGGATTAACTGAAACAAAAAATGGTAAGAACTAAGAATAGGGTATGACATACACAGATGTTAACAATTACTAGTAGTCTATCCTCTGAACTATATTACATAAAGCCTAAGTAAACATATTAAACCATTCTAATATCAAATCTAACTTAAATCTTTAAACTACTTTAGCATATTCAACATGACTTGTTTTAGTTAATGCTGTAACAAATCTTTTTTTAAAAGGATATAAATATGGGTGTGTGTATGGCTCAAAATAAGGCATTTTTTTTTCTCCTCGCCGCTCTCCTGAAATTAAATCATGTCAGTCACCAAAGATCTATTTCCAAGACTTCATGATCTTTTTAAAGCTTTTAAAAAATTACTTTCTAGGGATCCCTGGGTGGCGCAGCGGTTTAGCGCCTGCCTTTGGCCCGGGGCACGATCCTGGAGACCCGGGATCGAATCCCATGTCGGGCTCCCGGTGCATGGAGCCTGCTTCTCCCTCTGCCTGTGTCTCTGCCTCTCTCTCTCATTCTGTGTGACTATCATAAATAAATAAAAATTTAAAAAAAAAATTACTTTCTAACCTTTCTTTTGAATTATTTTCAATTTCTCAAAACTCTCTTTCCCTTTGGATTCTATGATAGCACTTTGATTGATTTTCCTTCTGCCTCTCTGATATCTCTTTGTCTCCACAGCAGGCTCTCCTTCCAATGGTTGCCTTGTGAATGGTTGCCTAGTATCCTAAGGTCCATCCCTACTTTTCACTGCTTCTCAGTCTCTCCAATATGCTATGCTACCTTTCTACCCTTGTCATTTCTACTGTGGACTACTGCAACACTCTAAATAGTATCCTGGTTCCTAGTTTCTCCCAATTCCAGTATATTCTTCAAGCTGCCACCAGAATAAAAATTTTTTTTTAATGTCAAGTGTTTTTGAAAATAATTCCATTATTGCCTATTTTCTTAAAAAAAAAAAAAAGCCTCAAACCTCAGTACACCTTACGGGCCCCCTTTGTTTTACCCCCAAGCAATTTCTCCAATCTCATTTCATCTCGTTCCACCTACCCCCCCCCCAGAACTTCAACCACAAGGAAATATTCATTGTTCATATTACAACATGCCCTTTTTTGCAAATCTCTGCCTTTCCACATTTCCTCTTCTTCAAAAGCCTCTTTTCCCGTTCCCAACCATTTCCTGATCCAACTCCTTTCTCTAATAAGCATTTACCACATTTATTTACCATGTCTATCCCCCCAGGAAAAGAAAAGCATCTCGAGCATAGGGAAACTGGCCTTTTCTTCTCTTTAGCTCTAGAATCAAATGATCAACAAAAATTTAATGACTAAATTGTAAGGAATCAACATCAAAGTGATTTATTTTTAAGAGTTGCAGTCTTAAAATTTCTCCTTAGGTGTAACTGAGTGAAAGGAAAAATGCAAATGAAGCACGCAAACTCAAATCTCAAGGTGAATATGGAAGAGCCAGAGAAGATAAGGACAGCAGTGCAAAATATTCAAAATTTGGACTCTCCTGAAACTTCAAGGTTGTAGGACCACGGCTGTAGATACACATACCATGTCTGACCTTATCACCTCCCTCCTTAGAAATCCTTCAATGACTTTTTAAAGATAAAGCGTCATCCTTAATTGGTTAAGGGGCCTCCATCAACTTACAGCGTTATCTCCCACTATCTTAACTTTAGCCACACAGACCTCCTTTCCCACTTTTTTTTTTTACCTAAGCAAATTTGCCAGTAATCTTCTTTCATATATTCTATCTCAAATGACTTCAGTCTATGCTTTCACTATCAGCCCAAGGATTCCTTAAGTTACCTCCATTATATGGTGAAAACGAGTCCATTTTCTCCCATTTTATTTGGAAGGCAACACAGTATAATGTTGACAATGAATTATGGGGTCTTGGGCATATTTAACCTCTTTTGTCTTGCTGTCCTGACCGTAAAATTGAGACAACAGTAGTACCTACTTCCTAAGATGATCGAAGGGATTAAAGGATAGTTCGCGTAAAGCACTTAGGCTTGTGTTGCTGTACACAAGAGCCCAATCAACATGCGTGGGTGATTATCACCTGCACTCCATTCCATGCCCCCCTCCTCCGCACCCCAACAGCTCCACTGCTCCTGCAGCCCTGAACCACATCAGCCTGATTCATTGCTGCATTCTTAGCCTGGGCACAGGACTCTGGACATAGCAGGCCTTCGACAGATTTATTTAAAAAAATAAACTGGCAGAGCTTCGTGTTCTACTTCTGCCTTACTAGCTGGAAGACTGTGAAGTATGCTTCGTCTACCCTCACGAAAATGCAGTATCTACCTCAAGGAGGTTCTGTATTAAATAACGGGATACATCCACCAAAGCACATGGCACACCTTCAAATACGGTACCAACGGCAGATGTTTGTTATTAATCAAGCGGAGGTCGGCGTCCTCCCTCCCCTCCGGCACGTCTCGTCCCGACCCCAACCTCCTTCCAGCCCACACCCTTACTGCGTGCGCCCTTGGCCCCCGGTCCCTCGGGACTCGAGGCGTGGGAGCTCCGGCCCCGCGCGGCTCCCTCCCCGCGCCCCGCGCCCTCCTTCCTTCCTCGCCCGGACGGACGCACTTCCGGCGGATGTGGGGGGACAACCCCGGAAACGGAAGTGAGCGGCGGGGCCGGCTGACGGTAATAGGGCCGAGCGGCTGTTCACAGAGCAAGTGAAGATGGTGAGTGAGAGACCCTGGGCGACCCGTGTTCCGGGCGGGCTCGGGACCCTGGCCCGGGAGGAATGGACCGCCTACCCCTAGCTCGTCCCGGGGTAGCGGCGGCGGCGGGAGGATGAGGTCGGCCTCGGGCGCCATGATCTGTCGAGTCACGGGGTTAGGGGGTTTCGTGGCTTGTGGCCCGAGCAGGGCTGCCCGGCGCGGCTCCCGGGACTAGCGCTTCGGCTTCGCTCCCTTCACTTGTTTCTCTCGATTTGCGCCGTCTGATCCCCAAGCTCCGCAGCACGCCGCTACCCCCTTCCCCGTAGGTGGCACCGAGCTGGCCCGGACAAATGCGAAAGCGCAGCGTTGTTCTGTGGTGCGGCGCTGCTGGCCGTCCTTCGCAGGAGGTTGCGAACCTCGGGGGCCCAGAGCCCTCAAACTCCTCACTCACCCCTGACCTCGGAACTGCTCTGCTAACAAATCCCACTGTAAAGCCGCCTTTTAAACTCCCACGTTCACAAACATTTTCGGGGAACTTGTAGTATGCCAGAAGTTGGAGAGGGGGAAAATCAGATGCTACTCCCTGTTTGTCAGCGTTTTCAAGTGCATCCCTCCCTCCCCCTTTCTCTCTTTTTAACTTAAGAGTTGTGATGCTTGGGAAAGACTCCTGAACGGCCGTGGCCCCTGACTCTGATTTGAGGCCATCTAACTCTAGAAAGCCTCTAGAGGTGGTAGTGCTGATTTTTGGGAAGAGGTTTTATAAACACTGACGTCTAACTAGTGAGACTTAAAGCTTTTCAGAGATTTGTTTTCCTCTGCTGGTTTAATAGAAGCATCAGGTACCAATCCTGATATTTTACAGAAGGAAATTAGGAGAAATAACGGTAAAGCCCAGAAATCAGAATTCTCCTTTTCTTTGTGCATAGAAGAAACTTTTCTTCTGTTACTCTATAATAAAGCAATCTGGGAGGAGGAGAATGTTGATGTGGGAAAGTACTAGGAGATGCATTTGGAAAGGTACAGTCCTGTAACTCGAGACCTGGAAAGAGTTCAGGTACCTGGAAGGATGAGTAAAGGGGGCCAGAGAGATTGTATGCCTGGATCATAGTCGCATAGTAGGTTAGAAGCAGGCCACCCTGGATTCCAGATTCTTTTCTGGATCAACCTTGACTTCTGTGTAGGGGAACCTGTTTTGTAGGTTCTTGAGTTTCAGGTTAATGACATTGGACTTTATTTTTCAAGACATTGATGAGTCCGTAAACGGTTTTTTTTTTAACAGTTTGGTGAGGGAGATTATATGTTTTAGGAAAACCTTGATATGCAAAATTGTAAAATGGAAAAGTCTAGACACAGCAAGAGCCAGTCAAGTGCTGTAAAAGTTATCCAGGTGTGAGATCCCGAAGTAGAGTGGTAGTTTGAAGAAACCCTGAAAAGATGAAAGTACCTGACCTAATAAAATACAGATATATTAAGAAATCAATTTAAATGTTGGTTTCTCAGAATAGTTTCCTCTAGAGTAGTATAAGGGTGGATACCAAACTGCCTGTAGCTGTTTTATGTTTTTCTGCAGAATTAAGGGATATTGTACTTGAACAAATGATTAAAAATTAGCTTTGTGTTTTAATCTGTTGTAACATTTATTGCATTTTATTTGCTTATTTAATTTATTTTCATTAGACTAAACCCTGAGAGGTAGATGTGTGTCTTCAGCATCTACCAGCGTAGTAGATGTTTAATAAATATTTGGTAATTAAATGTTTTATAGTATAGATGTGTAGGGTGATAATACACTAGTGCCAGATATACTGTGAGTCTTTGTTTTTGTTCTGCTATGATGATTAATCATCATAGGGAGTACCATGGTATAGAAACCAAATACTTGGGGATCCCTGGGTGGCGCAGCGGTTTGGCGCCTGCCTTTGGCCCAGGGCGCGATCCTGGAGACCCGGGATCGAATCCCACATCGGGCTCCGGGTGCATGGAACCTGCTTCTCCCTCTGCCTGTGTCTCTGCCTCTCCCTCTCTCTCTGTGACTATCATAAATAAATAAAAAAATTTAAAAAAAATTAAAAAAAAAAAAAGAAACCAAATACTTTCTGAATGTCCTTTTTTTTTTTTTTTTAAGCTTCTTTCCCATATTCTTCTAGCTGTTCTGTTCATTCTTAATCCCACTTCCTTATTCTTCCTTAAGGGATAGTATTCCCCAGGATTGTGTCCTCAACTTTTTTCATTCTGTGCTAATCATTACAACCTAAAGGAGGGATCTTTCCAATGAAAGTAAATCTGATCATGCCATAACCTTCAGAGGCTATCAGTCTCAGAATAAAACCTGAATTTCTTTGCATGTTTAAGCCTTTTTGTTTTCTTCATTTTGCCAACCTTTCCTTTGCCTCACTGAGACATCTAGTTAGCTGGTCATGTCAAACTACTTGTAGCTTGTTCATTTATATATTTGTACCTTTAACCGTGTTCTTTTTTCTTGGATTGCCTTTCAACATGACGATATTCAGCGATGAACTCAGGAATGCTTCCTACTCCAAATTTGATATTATTTAGTGTACCATGTATAATTAGTCTATCATAATGCTAAGGCTCATCATAATTGTCTAGACTGTGGGGTCTTTGAGGGCAGAGATGGCTTTATTTTTTTGTCTAATGTTTAAATAGTGTTTTTTATATAGATGTTTAGTGTGAGTTTTAAAACATTTTTTGTATTTAATAGTGTTTTTATTTGCGTTGTAGAATGCCAGAGGACTTGGATCTCAGCTGAAGGACAGTATTCCAGTTACTGAACTTTCAGCAAGTGGACCTTTTGAACAGCATGATCTTCTTCGAAAAGGGTATATGGGAGAATTGTGACTTTGAGTTGGTTATAATAAAATATTTCTGTGAATTCTTTTTCACAATATTTAAAAAATGTTTTGATAGGCCATAAATATATATTTAATTTGGGACATAGCAAGTAACATACCTTAGACTGAGGGAGGATGGGAGTGGATATTTTCTATAATGGAAGACATGTCTTAGCGGTAGTGGGGTTCCAGGATAGGACATCCTTCTAGGAGGTGTTAGCTAGTAGCATGATTTGGTAGGCTTCTTTTTACTACTGCTAACTTGGAGAGCCATTTGTCTCCTTATCTTATTGACTACTGGAGTAACTCTCTGGGAGACAGTAGAATGCAGCAGTTAAGAGCATACTCAGGAGTAGGCTGCCTGGGTTTTGATCCTGGCTCTGCTTTTACTAGATATATGACTTTGGGCAGGTTACTTAATTCCTCTACGTCTCAATGTCTGTATCTGTGAAATAGAGCTGTTAATAGTGTAAATCTTATTTTGAGAAATAAGTGAGTTAATACATGAAAAATACTTACAATAGTACCTGACATTGAAAAGCTCTCAGTAAGTGTTAGCTACTGTTACTTTACTTTTCTAGCTTCAGCACCAGTTGTACCCCTTCCTTGGTTTCCTCCACGTTTCTATATATTGAGGTCTCAATTTCTGGTACTTCTTCTTGGGAAGTGGCTTTTCTGCTTAATCGGATAAGGGTAGTGCCTACCCCTGTAAACATCTGTTTTGAATTTTTGAATTTTATATGTAACTTTAAGTACTTTGGTCTCACTTTAATAAAATATCATTCTAATATTGGTGTCTAGGGACAGACATAATGCCTCATTATTGTCTTTCCATTTTCTAGTGAAAGATGCAGTTTATAGTCTTTGGAATTGGAGATATAATTTGATTTATGGTATAGTATAATCAAATTCGTAAAGCTAGTCAGGTTCTGGTGATTTGTTATTTATTTATCTTTTTCTAAACAAAGTGCTCCTTTTTCTTCCCAGGTAGACTTTTAGATTGCTGTAAACAGAACCATTTTCTTTTCTTTTTTTTTCAGAACCATTTTCAAATTCTGCTTTTCTGCTTTTAGGATAATATTCTGTACAAAGATAATATTCAATAAATGATTATTGCAGGATTTCTGTGGTTCCTCTCAGCTCTCCAATCGTATTTTGGCAATCAGGATAGTCCTCTTTATATATTTAGAGTGATAAAGATCAGTGGTCTGGTTCTAGCAATGTATGACCTTATATAGTAGCTGTTCAGTAAATGTCAAACCTATTGTTCGGCATGTGTTTATTAAAGGTATATTGAATATGTATAGACCTGAACAGAAGAGGCATAGGTTTTTTTTTTTTTAAGATTTATTTATTTATGAGAGAGAGAGGGTGGGTGTGCAAGTAGGAGATGCGGGGGAGAGAGAGAGTATCCTCAAGCCAGCTCCTCACTGAGTGCAGAGCCTGATGTGGGGCTCGATACCCAGATGCAGAGGTCCATGGACCTGAGCCAGAACCAAGAGTTGGACATTCAATCGACTGAGCCATCCAGGTGCCCCTAGATTTTTTCTATATAATACAGGAAGCATGTCCTCACGTAATAGTAGTTTTAATCATACTTTATTAAATTTCTTCTAGATATAGGGTATCATTTAATACTTTTTTTGAAGGGTTCACCCTAATGAATTGACCACTAGTATCTATAATCGGTCCATTTTAAAAGTTCCCATATATAGTAAATTTGACCTTTCTTTAGTGTTACATAATGCATTGTTATAATTCATAGTTATATGAATTTTGATACATATATCAATTGCTGCAACCATTTCCCCAATCAGGATACAGAAGTGTCATCGTTCCTAAAACCTTCCTTGTGCCATTCCCTTATAGTTACACCTATTGATGGATGCAATTTTGAGCTTTAGGTATTGAGTGGTTTATAATCTCCCTTTAAAATTTTTTTTTTCCAGTCTACCTTGTGTGAAAAATGAACTTTTGCCCAGTCATCCTCTTGAATTATCAGAAAAAAATGTAAGTACATTACCCATGTTTTTATTTTTATCCTCTCCCAGAAGTATACTTTTAGTAATATTTAATGTGATTTCATTTATTAAGATAATTTTGATGTTGAGCATTTGACCGTGAAGTGTAATACAAGGACTTATTTTCAATATCCTTGTAGAGTAGGCTTTGAATTATCATTATAAGCTTCCCTAAAGCTCTTTTTCTACACTTTTCTTTTGTCTTTTTTATGGACTTTTTTTTTCTTTTAATTTTAACTAGACTCCACTCCCAGCATAGGGCTTGAACTCAAAACCCTGAGATTAAGAGTCACATGCTCTAACAACTCTTAGCCAGGTCCCCCTTTATGGACATTTCTAAAGGCCAGTCTCCTTTTCCATTCCTCTCATAATACTTCTTCATTTGATGAGCCTGTTTTCTTTTATATCTTTCCTCTGCCGTGTTAGCAGTTGACCTCCAAGTCCATATCTCTAGCCTTGACCTCTTTCTCAAGCCCTGCATTTCCCAAGTTACTGAGGGACATATCTTCTTGGTAGGCACAGTAGGTACACAGATAAATGTGACATAATCCACAACCTGGAGAGGCTGAAAATTTAATGGGAGGACAAGCAGTGGATAGGCATTTATAAAATGCTATAGAGGACCAAGATGGAGCAACCACCTGTGCATGCATAGGGCTAGTGGAAGGCTTTGTAGAGGCATTCCACAGGCATTTGAATTGTTTCAGGTCAGTATTTACTAGATTGATAGGGAAGGGTCACCCCCAAAGAGAGTATATAGCCTATACGTAGGAGAAGATCCCTCCCAAAGAGGGTAGCCTGTGTACATGCTATAAATACAACTTAAAGAGTTTCTAAATACATTCAGAGCAAGAAGAAAGAGGTATCTTACTGCTTCAGGAAGATGGTACAGTGTTGTTATTGATAAGTTGGGCTCAAATTAAGGGAGATTATAGTCTCACTTTTCCAATTATTAGCCTGGCCATTAGATTTGGAATATTGGTTCAGTTCTGAGCAATACATGTTAAAGAGAAACTGACAAATCTGAGTGAGACTGACCCAAATGGTGAAGAGTTTAAAAATTGCATAAATCATTTGAGACTCTGTTTACATCAGCTGCTTCTGTGTAGTCTCCTTAATCACTTCACCAGCCAATGGCAGTCTCTCAAAATTCTGTGGCTTATAATCTATTGTAAGTCCTGTAGTGTGGGTTGTATAATTGAACTATATAGATTTAGATTCTTTTTTTTTAAGATTTTTATTTATTTATTCATGAGAGACACACACAGAATGACAGAGAGAGAGACAGAGACAGAGGGAGAAGCAGGCTCCATGCAGGGAGCCCGATGTGGGACTTGATCCTGGGTCCAGGATCATGCCCTGGGCTGAAGGTGGCGTTAAACCGCTGAGCCACCCGGGCTGCCCTAGATTTAGATTCTTGACACCATACTTAGTAGCTAAGTGAATTTGGGCAAGTTCCTTAATCTCTCTTTAAGTCTTAGTTTCCTCATTTGTGAAATGGAGTTAGTAATAGCCCATACCTTGCATATGCTGGCTTATAGTAGCTCTCCATGATTGGGAGCTGTAGTGGTGATGGTGATGGAAGATGACCATCATTATACCAGTAGTTCTCAACAAGAGATGATTTTACCTCTTCCAGGGGACATTTGGCAATCTCTGATTGTCACAAGTGGTATTGGGAGAGGAGGGTCTTTGGTACTGGCATTAATTGGATGGAGGCCAGCGATGCAGCTAAAAGTCCTACAATATATAGGACAGTACCCATCCACCACCACAATTACGTAGTCCAAGGTGTCAGTACTGCCAAGGGTTGAGAAGCCCTGGTCTAGTTGTAATATCTTCCCAACTAGATCATATAACCTCCTCCTTAGTAGACTGCTTTCTGGTATATTACCACAGAGCTTAATTGTAATTTTGCATGTGGTCATTAATAATTTATGTGTTGATTGATACTTCCAGTTTGACATCATATTATAAGGTAGATATATATATTCATCAAAGTTTATAAAATTGAATTTTTTATGTAACTTTATGAGGATAATTCAATATTTTTTTTAAGATTTTATTTATTTATTAATGAGAGACAGAGAGAGAGAGAGAGAGAAGCAGGCTCCATGCAGGGAGCCTGATGTGGGACTTGATCCTGGGACCCCAGGATCACACCCTGAGCCAAAGGCAGACGCTCAACTGCTGAGCCACCCAGGCATCCCATAATTCAATATTTATTTATTTTTTTTTTAAATTTTTTTAAATTTTTATTTATTTATGATAGTCACACACACAGAGAGAGAGAGAGAGAGAGGCAGAGACACAGGCAGAGGGAGAAGCAGGCTCCATGCACCGGGAGCCCGATGTGGGATTCGATCCCGGGTCTCCAGGATCGCGCCCTGGGCCTAAGGCAGGCGCTAAACCGCTGCGCCACCCAGGGATCCTCATAATTCAATATTTAAAGGAAACCCTTCAATAAGAACTTCAGATTATATATATCTATAATAAAATATTGCATATTTTCCCTAAGAACCATTTGTTAAAATTTTATACTCAACCTAAGTAATTAAAAACCATACTGTTTCGTATTTTACCTCAGACTTAGTGTATATGGGCTCAGGTCATGGCTAAACTGAGCACTAATCTCTCATGTTTTTGATTGAACCCTCCCTCCCATCCTGACCTAAAATCTTATCAAGAGATTGTAGTTTAATAAAAAATGATCACAAAAGTCACTTTACCTTACTATAATTAATGTTAACTCAGACAGACCTTTGTAGCAGTCTGCAAATCCTATCCACTACCCATTTTGGGAAACTATGATTAGAATTCATGGGTCAAGTTGATTCATTTTGCCTGAATTACATTAAATTGCAGTAAAAGTTTTTTAGAAGTAATATTAGTGTTTAGTAAAAGTATGATTCTAGAAAAAACAGCTTATTAAGACCCAATACAAACTGGACAGATATTAGAGTTTTGGGTCCCCCTGCCACCTGGGGAACCTCTTACCCCAAAAAGTGGAGTTTAAATATTGTAGCTTAATTAACAGGGTGGTATAATGGGTTTGACTATTTTTTTTATGAAGTCTTTTGAATTAATACACTTTCATATTTAGAAATTCACTATTTTTATCACTTGTATATAGCTTTCTGAATCTCATTTTATTTATGCCTTTTCTTTGTTTTATCAGTTTTGTGGTAATTCTAAAACTAAAATATTTTGTAAATGTACTTTTGCAATGTGAAAAACATTCCTTAATTTAGCAGTTTTGTAAATCCAATTTTAGGTGTTAATTTCACGTTGGGGAAGTACAACTGTGTGCCTGATAAAACAAAGACATATATATTCTAAAATTTGTTGAAGAAATTAATAAAAGTACTTTGTTTTTATTTCAGTTATGGATACTAAAATTCTTCAAGTGTTGTGTTACATATGTATCAGTGCTGTTTTGAAAGCAGAATGTTGAGTGTAACATTTAAAATTATATTGTTTGCCTTTGTAGTTCCAGCTCAACCAAGATAAAATGAATTTTTCTACACTAAGAAACATCCAGGGTCTGTTTGCTCCACTAAAATTACAAATGGAATTCAAGGCAGTGCAGCAGGTGAGCTTATGGATGTCAGTTATGATACGTTCCACATGTGGGTTGCTATGAGTTAGAAGGAGTCTTCTGCAGTACCTAAAGCCTTACCTTCTCTTCTCCTCCATAGCCTATTCTACTTTGTCCCTTTTCAGGGTATGACCTGGATTCCTACTTTAAAGAGAAAAAAGAAGGCCTTAAGTGGAAAACTTCAAATTATGAGCTTAGTACCAAAGCTTATCTGTATCTACTTTCATGTTTTTCTGTCTTTAGGTTACATTGAATTTGAAATACTTCTAGGAATATTCAGGTTGTGGTATGTTTGCATATAGGCAGTTCGTATATAGTTATGTATACCTGTTGCTCAGGAAAAGATCTTCAGAAATGTCCTTGAAGGTGTTTAAGAACTGTCCTCGACCTGTGCTGTAGATTCTATCGTGTCACACTATGTCAGGGAGTAAGATCTTTTCATGGATCCTTTCTATAACTGATATCTTCATCCTCTCTCTGCACTTGGACAGACTCATCAGCAGTGTTTACATACATTCTAACTTTTTTTGTCTTTTAAAACAAAAATTGTGTCAGTCTCTTTATTGCACCTTCTTTATAAGTGTGCTTTTGCAGGTTGAGTGTCTTAAAGTTGCCTCCATTTGCTATATGCCCCTTTACCTTCTATTCATTCAACCCACTGTTTTCTGGCTCTCATCACACCAGTGAAACTGCTCCTGAATAGTGTGGTTATCAATATGTATGCCTTCCTTTTGTTTGATCTCCCTGTGGTGTGTAACACCAGTAACTCCTTTTTTCCTTGGCTTTTAGAATACCACACTTTCCTGATATCTCCCTGTTTCTGAGACCTTCTTCTCAGGTGTTTGTGTATAGGTTCCTTTTGCTTTTTTCTTAACTTTGAAATACCAGTTTTGTAGGTCCCATTTCCAGTCCTCATCCTGTTATTTCCTGTTTATTCCTATAACTTTTGGTATCATTTGTATGTTGATGACTTCTAAGTTTTAATTGTCATGAGCTGTAAACCTGTAGACTTCTTCAGTTGGACACTGTGAAGTTCCACAGGCACTTCACATTTCACCTTTGTAAGTACAGGGTAACTCATTATTCCTCACATACTCCGCATCCTGTGTGAATAGGTTGCTTCCTAAGGGCAGAGATTGGAACATGCATGAGCCTTGGTTGTCTCACACCGCACCTCATCTGTACCTCCACCATCTAGTCAATTACATGTTTTCACCAGTGCTAATACGTTGGTTTTGATTACCTACTATGCAACGTCCAGATCACTAATGCCGAGCTTTGTTGCCCTCTGATCCATTGTACGTGTTCTAGCCACAGGAACCTTTGTAAAATACAGATTTGATCATACCTCTCTCCTTACTTTGCCCTCAAATTAAAACTCAACTCTGTAACATGGCTGTTTATGAATTGACCTCTCCTTGTTCTCCACCATACTTCATAGCCTCCTAAAACTGCTTGCATATCCCGGCTGAGTTTTTTCTCACCTTTTGGCTTTTGCACGTGTTCTTCCTACTACCGTGTCTTTTTCAGTAAATTTTATTAATACCCTCAACTGTATTGTCTAAGTCATCCTGGAATCTATGTCAGAACTTTTTCTAAGGATCAAGCTCTAAAAGAGCATGTGTGGCTCTAAGTCAGAATAACCTGGATGTGAATCTTGGTTCCACCATCTACTGATCTTAAGAACTTACAAGTTAGAGACCTTTCTGAGCCTCAGATCATTTGTTTGTTTTTAATGTGAAATGGAGTCAACTGTAACAACAGTGTAGGGTTATTAGGGTTATTCTGAAGATTAAATGAAGTAACGTGTTTGGCACAGAATCATTAGCTTCCCTTTTATTTTCCTCCCCACATTCCAGCTACATATGGCTTATATTTTGGGCCTAGTTTTAATCCCGTGTAATTCACACATCCTTGCCTGGGATTCTGCCTCCTCCCTTGTCCCTTTGCTGTCGCAGCTCTTGCTTGTGGGTGTGTAACAGCTGTTTGCTCATCCCTGTTCATCACGGGCGCTTTCACGGTACCTACCAGGTATCTACCAGTCCCTGTGCTCTCTGGTTTAACTTACAAGCTCTGTTTTTGTTTCTACTGTCCTCCTTACTTTCTTTTTAAAGGAAAAAAAAAATATATATATATATGTGTGTGTGTGTGTGTGTATAATACATATATATATATATATTTCATATAATTTTTGACAACTTAGAGAAATTTTTTCATCCTAAACTCTATAGGCCATTACTAATTAAAAATATTATTAGTCTAGATATTTTTCTTGGTGGAAATTATTCTAACAGCATCCTTAGATTTCAAAGTTATGATAACTTTAAAATACTAGTATCCTGTAGTTATTGACTAGCTATTACTCTTAGCATTCTTTTGTCAATATCCAAAATAACCTGCGTTGTTTCAATTATCATTGCTAGACAACTAACAGAGAACACAGAAACTGAAAATTTGGTTTGGCTGTATGAAAGTTTATTGAATACTAAATATATGCCAATGACTATACTATATACATACTTTACACCACACCATCCTGCTTGTTTGAGAGGAAGGTGATACTATCTTGTTTCACAGACAAGGAAATTGAGAGTGAGAAGATCAGGTAATTTAAACAGCCATAGTATTGTTAAGTAGTAAAACAGTGTGACTCCAGGTCTCTGACTCCACAACCCATGCTTGCTCCACTACATACTTATATACCAGTCTGCAGTATATATATTTAATACTTAAAAAAGGTAGATACCACTAGTTCAGAATGGTTTGTGTAGGAATGCCTGGGTGGCTCAGTGGCTGAGCGTCTGCTTTCGGCTCAGAGCATGATCCCGGGGTTCTGGGATCGAGTCTCATGTTGGGCTCCCTGCACGGAGCCTGCTTCTCCCTCTGCCTGTGTCTCTGCCTCTCTCTGTCTCACACGAATAAATAAATGAAATATTAGAAAAAAAAAAAAAAAAGAATGGTGTATTTTGAAGGCCCCACAAGTGACTTTGGTCTTTCTTTCTGGTTATCAGTACTGTTTGAAATGGTCATAACTTAAGCATTTACGATGAGTAATACCAAACAACATAACAAAGTGAAGTAAACAGTTTACTAAGTAGAATAATGCTCTTATTGAGTTGGAATATCTTCAGGAATTTGATCGTCCTACCTTTATTAGGAACTAGATATGACATTAGGCTCTGAGATTTTTGCATTTCATCATATGTATTGATGTGGTATTCCTGGGAGCAGAAGCAAAGCCCCCAAATATGTACAAAGCTGATGGGATTATTATGTGTTAATAAAAACCATACTTTTCAGTGTCTTTATATATTTTGAATAAAGCTTCGAGGAATTTTAAAGTTTGGTTTGGGTCTAAAATACGAACTGGTGTTTTTTTCCACTGGTTATTATCGTTTTATTTAGTTTTGTGAATTTTACAAATAAAGAATGAAGAGCATGAAATTAGATTATGTATTGGTTTCTTTTTTCCCCCTTGGTTTTCTCTAATCTTACCCTTTCATATTTTTCCTGAAGGTTCAGCGTCTTCCATTTCTTCCAAGCTCAAACCTTTCATTGGATATTTTAAGGGGTAATGATGAGACTATTGGATTTGAAGATATTCTTAATGGTGAGTATCATTCAGCACCTCTTTATGGAGCTCTAATAATGAAAAGGCAACAGAAGCAAACAAAATCAACAGCATCCTCATCCTTATGGAGTTTATAGCTCATTGGGTTTACTTGTGTTTATTGCAATAAGACAAAATTTAATCATAACAACTGTTGTTTAACTGATTTTAAAGGTGGAAGTTAGTTATGGAGGTGATAGTCACTCATAAACTAACGACGGTCCTTCATTTCACGTCCTGTGGTTATAGTCTAAGATGTGAATAAGTCTAAGGTGTGAATCTAATAGAGTATATAAGGGTAGCTTAAACAACAGTTGTTGTTTCAGTATTCAAAATATTTGTGGGATATGACTAGTTTTTTAAATGACTAGAAAAAAAAAGTTTTCTTAAAAAAAAAAAAAATAGCTCCCACCCCTGAAGAAGTTTTGTGATTCTATAGGTAGTGACTAGAAAAGAAGAATCTGTAATTTTTAATAAAATTCCTTGGATACTTTTATTATGTATGAGATAAATAACTTTTAAGTAAGAACAATACATGCAGCAGCCTCTATTTTTTCTGATCTGAAGAAGATAAATAGAATTCTGTTTAGTATTGCTTCTGCTCATTATGCCCCCCAGCAGTTCAGGAGAAACAGAAAAACCCAACAGGATTAAATTATATTAGTTTTGCTTGGCTGCTGATGTCTGGTAAGGAAATGCTATGGACACAACAGAAGTCTGGTGAGCCTCCCCTTTGAGAATCTTCCCTGAGGGAATTTTTTCAATGCAAGAAAATCTGGAATTCCTAAACTTTTTACGTTGCACTTATACCTTGTTGTAAATTAGCGAAGTGATAGTTCATGTGTCTATATTTTTATCTTTATGTTAATTACAAAAATACATTTATTTAAAAATCAACTCCTGCCTTTTTGTAAAGAAAATGAGTGGTGCTTGTTAAGCATTTACTCAGTCAAGTATTTATTATGTGTCCGGCACTGGGCAAGCTCTGAATATACAGCAGTAAAAAAACTTTTCTACGTGGGGAGATAAACAGATAAAAGCAAACATAAAATTACAAATTGTGATAAATTCTAGGAATAAAAAGGGAGTGATACAGTTTGTTGTTGAGTGGGAGAGACAGGCACTTCTGGGAATATGACATAACTTGATTGCTAAAAGATGTGTGAATTAGTTAAAGTAGAGGGAAGAATATTTTAGGTAGAAGAAGCAATATGTTGGGGGGGTTTAACCTGAGAGACAGCTGAAGCTCTGAAGGGGTTTTAAGAGGTTTTCTTTCCTTTTTTTTTTTTTTAGAAGATTTTATTTATTTATTCATGAAAGACACACACACACACACAGAGAGAGAGAGAGAGAGAGAGGCAGAGACATAGGCAGAGAGAGAAGCAGGCTCCATGCAGGGAAGCCCGATGTGGGACTTGATCCCAGGACTCCAGGATCACGCCCTGAGCTGAAGGCAGATGCTTAACTGTTGAGCCACCCAGGCATCCCTAAGAGGTTTTCTTAATCTATAAGCTAAGAGGTTAGCTTGCTGTGGTTATTATGGACCCTGGCAGAAGACAGGACTCCAAGAGTCAAAGAACAGTTGATTACCCACAGCAGTAGAGGGACTGGAGTATCAGCTTTCCTGTTGGTTTCCTGAACCCCAGCTCTCACAGAGCACCAAGAAGAAGGTCAGATGATGGCACATATATAGTTTGAGGAAACCCCACCCACGCCCCGATCAGGACATCTGAATCTTCTATAATAGTAAAGAAGCCTTCCTGTTCTGTGCTCCAGAAGAGTCATGATCTTGGTCTTAGGCTGTTCACTTTAGAAACAGCTTTGGAAAGAGAGTCTAGAACAAAGGCAGGCAGTGTATCCAAGACTTACAGAATTGTAAAAGACTTATATAGAGAATTGTCTCCCAACACACATGAGTGTGTTAAGAAGGCCCATGTGGCTACAGGGTTTTGAGTTAAGAGTTGGAAGTGATAGGGTTTTTCCTTCTCATCAGGGAAGTACTTGGTCAAGAAAAATCTGTGCATTTTACAAGGAAGGGAAGGGACTGAGGAGGGCAATAGTAAAATCAAAACTAGACTTTCAGTGCTAAAAGAGATCTTCTGTTTACTCCAGTTCCCTCACTCTAAGGTGGTTAAACAGACTGATGGAGAGGCTTAGTCCTCCCTCTTGGTCTCACAGGAAGATAGCGGCAGAGCAGAATCATAAAGGCCATTGCCTTGCTGGTGTGGTGTGTGGTTTTCTGATATAAGTGACTTATTTAATAAGCATGTACTTTATTAAAGTTAGAGCTTAAAGCAGAGTTTAAAAGGTATATATAAAAGTTATATAAATTAATATATTCTTTAACAATTTAAAACATTACAGCTGAAATTCAAGCCCTCCATGATTACCCTCAAACCCATTTCTCTCCCTTATTCTTCAGTTACTTGCTGTTTTCATTTAGTGTATTTCCTTTCAAACTTTTTTTCTGTGTGTCTTTATACTGAGTCAGAAATTTGGCATTGCTTAGTGGTTTGTTTTTTTAAAAAACACAATTGGGATACTATGTATATCTTACAGTATGTGTGATACATCAGTGCATTTATTGCTGGATGCTTTTTTCACTTTTTTTAAATTTAATTTAATTTTCGAGAATATGTGTGTACGTGTGGATGGCTATTTTTACAAACTGATTTTACGGTTCATTGGTTTTTTAATCCTATTTGAGGAATAGAGGGCAGAAATGGAAAAAGGCTTTAGCTTACTATTAGCATTAATTTTAAAAAGCTATTCTATGTGTATTGTACAGTTAAAATAAGACTTTTGTCTATTTGCTATCTAAAAATAAGATAGTAAAGATTTTAAAGATTTTCTTGGTCTCAAATTCTGATTTATGTTTGTGTATGTAACAGTATAAAATAGAAATAAAATGTTTTTGTAAACTAGATTAAAAGACTGCTCAATCTTTTAATTAGAAATTGTTTCCTAGAGTCATCTGGGAAGCTTACTGGAAAACTTGAGTTTTGAAAAAGGAGAACTTTTTCAATCTGTTGTCTTTTTTTTTTTTTTTTCCAGTCAACTGTATTGAGGTATAGTTGACATACAATAGAATGTACTCATTTTAAGTGTACAGTTCTGTGAATGTTAGCAAATGTGTACTACTGTGTAATATCCCCCCAGTCAAGGTATTTATCACCCTATAAAGCTTCCTTGAATTGAACCCTTTGCAGTCAGTTCCCTACCTTTGGCCTCAGGCAGCCACCAGTCTGTTTTCTGTCACTTTTAGTTTTGCTTGTTCTAGATTTTTATGTTAATTGATTTTATCTTTTTTTGAGAATCTTTAATATGTTTGTTTTTGTTTGTTTTCAGACCCGTCACAAAGTGAACTAATGGGAGAACCACACTTGATGGTGGAATATAAACTTGGTTTACTGTAATCTGTTGTGCTGTTCATGAAAATAGAGGGGCTGCATGTTGTTTATAGTCATCTTTTTACTATAATTTGATGTATACAACATTAAAAGTACTGACACATGAGAATTTTTGCCTAAATAGTATTTGTGATCATTTGAAATGATTTAATCTTTGGTTTATGGCCATGTGACAATTGAAGCACTAAAGGGAGATGATTTAAAACTCCCAATTTATATGAAAACAATAGCCTTCTATATGTCTTTCAAAAATTGTTGTTAATGAGTATTTTAAAATTGTACAGGTTTCAATCCAGCCTGTTTTCCGGGTATCCCATAAATTTAATTTTGATTACCATTATCAGCATTTGAGTCTACAACCTTCATAGTAGCATCTTAGAATAAACATCTGTAATTGATTTCAGTGGTAACACTTCAAATTAAGTACAGAGTAGGGTATTTATATTTTACCTTGTTTCACTATAGCCTGTTGATACTTACAAGAAAAATACTGGATTTATTGATGCTATTTTAGAATTGTAGCTATTTGATTTTTTCAATTGGAAAAGTATAAGTTCAAAGGTTTTGATTTTGGTCTTGTTTTAAAATGAAAAACCAACCAGCATATGTTGATTACCTTGTTGTAATGCATAGATTTATATATCACAAGATGATTAAATAGAAAAAAATTACAATATTCATGTACACACACTATGTATCCCTGAACAGACTGCATAATTATTTAAAAATAAATTTTCATTATAGTTGTTCTTTCTTATGAGATGTTCCTTATGAACTTGGTATACAAAAATTCATGAGTTTTAGATTTAATCAGTAAATGGGTCATCTTTCACTAATTAAAAAATATTTTTTGATTAATTTTTCGGGAACATCTTAATTGGTTAGGTCACTGATTTGCAACTGAAGGCTATATTGTTTCTCCTCTTTTAGGGGCCAGGGAGGAGGGCATCTAATAATATGTAGAGATGTTTTTGGTTTTCACGACTTTGAGGAAGGGCTGCTACTAGCATCTAGTAGAGGACAGGGATGCTGAAAAATTCCTCCAACAGAAAAGACAGAGTTACGGTCACATAACAAAAATACTAAAGGAATATAATTTTTAAAACTCATAATTTATGTTGAAACAGCCTTCTATGTCAAAGTTATTACTGAATATTTTAAAACTTTACATTCAGAGTTTGCTCCCTGCAACCAAAAATCATTTGATTTAAAATCTCATTAGTGGGATGCTTGGGTGGCTCAGTGGTTGAACATCTGCTTTTGGCTCAGGGCATGATCTCAGGGTCCTGGGATCGAGTCCCACATTGGGCTCCCCACATGGAGCCTGCTTCCCCCTCTGCCTGTGTCTCTGCCTCTCTCTCTGTGTCTCTCATGAATAAATAAATCAAATCTTTAATAAAATAAAATAAAAAGTGTCAAGGATGACAAACTTTGAAATAAAACTATATGACACATTTTTAAAAATTACTGTTGAGATTAAGTTGAAAACATTTTTGCCACTATAGTATTTGCCAAATTGTTTTACACTTAGGTTATAAAAAACAGAGAAATAATGAAGGTTTGCTAATTGCTTCTACATATATTCTCTTTCAACTAATTCAGAAAACGGGAAACTTCTTGTGACCGTAGTTCTAAGAATATTTCATACCCTTCCTGACCAGTAGAGGGTACTGTGAAATTAATAAGCATGATTTAATTGGAAAAGCAGATGTTTTAAACAGAAATTGGTGATTAATACTTTCTGAAGGTCTTTGCTTCCTCTCTTCCTCTTTTACCTTCTTTGTATTTATACTAGTGATCCTCATTGCTAGATTTACAAATCACCTGGGAATCTTGTGAAAAAATTTTGGTATTGGATCTGAATCTCAGAAATTCCAAAAGGACTGGTCTGGGGTGGATCCCAGGAAGTGTACTTTTGAAAAGCTCTCCAGCCTTGAGAACCTTTGTTTTGTCTTTACTTGCTTTTGCCCCAGTATTAGCAACAGTCATTAGCTTCACTTAGTTATTCTGGCCTGTATCTGTGCTGCATAGTTTGCTGTTTCTTAATCTCTGCAGTCTTTAGTGTGTGCTTGAAGTTGGCATTATTTGGATTTCTTCATAAGACTCGGTTGCAGATATGTTTGAGTTGCTTGCCTAGATGTCAAACTAGGCATTTTTCCTTCAGATGCTGTGGCCTTATTGAAGAATTAGTTTAGTATTTTCCTTGTTTCTGTTTGCTTTTGAAAATAGCTTTGGGGGATCCCTGGGTGGCGCAGCGGTTTGGCGCCTGCCTTTGGCCCAGGGCACGATCCTGGAGACCCGGGATCGAATCCTACATGGGGCTCCCGGTGCATGGAGCCTGCTTCTCCCTCTGCCTGTGTCTCTGCCTCTCTCTCTCTCTCTGTGACTATCATAAGTAAATAAAAATTAAAAAAAAGAAAAAGAAAAAGAAAATAGCTTTGGGTTAAAGAGGAACTTTGTAGGTTGGTGGCTGATTAAAATATATTTTATTAAAATTAAAATGACAAAATTCACAATAAAAGATAGAAACATCCTTAGGTAGAAACATACCAAATGAGGGTGCAATCTAATTCTATATTAAGCCTTTTGGTAGGTATGAGAATAAAGGAATTTGTGTATTTTATTGTCTGGAAGTGCTGAGGGATTGGCAAAAAAGTAAGCACATATTTGACACACATCATGGGATGGCTTTTGCTATAAACAACACTGTTTCACTCTTACCCTCAATACAAAATATAACTGAAAGGCTTACCATTTTTCATAATTTTGTCCTTTGCGATGAGTGTTATCCCTCTTTCAGGAGTACATGTGAATATAACCCAGAGCTCCTCTGTACTTTGTTATTCTTTTGAGTGTAGACATTCAAGAATATAAAAGATGATCTGAACAAGTAGATTATTTTTGAAAAACAGACTGTTGTGTATGATCTTCCACTAAAATTTGTAATTGGTTTAAATTTTTTTTTAATCAAATACATAGAATCTAAGTATATATTAACTAAGTTTTGACTTGCTTTTCAGTAAAGCAAAACCAAAAGTGATGTGACACTTCATGGGATTTCTTATTTAGCTCATGATTTCAAAATAGATTTAGATTGCTTCATGTACAATAAATGCTTACATAAGAACTTATACTTTTAGTTTGTTATATTGTAGACTCTTAAGTCATATTAAAGAATAAGAAATAAGCATTCATTGGTTTTTAAATCAAATTTCATCAGGGATTGTTTAATTTCCTGATTGAAAAACTAAAGGACTTTTTAACATGTTTTTTTCTTTTAAAAATAAATCAAGTCTTGAAAATTTAGTTTGCTTCCAGATCTCAGATTTATTTCTGGAGTCAGTAGACGTGCCTTGTCAGTTGTACTTTGTCTTTTTGCTTCTCTTCAGTGTCTTGACCTAGTGGAGACAGGAAGAAGCTATATTGTTCATCTCTGTGACCAAATAGAGGTCACAGAGGATATAGCTTTGGGTCAGTAAAAGACCAGGCTGAATGCTGTTGCAGTTTTGCCTGGGCTTTTTTACTTTTGGAGAGGTGGATTGATTTTAACCCATGACTTAAACCACCATTTTTATTTGTTTGTTTTCTGTGTTATATAGAAATCATACAAAAAGTAAGTTATGTTTTCACCAACTTTTTATTTTGAAAACGTTCAAACTTAGAGAAAAACTGAACAATATAGAAACACCCAACATAACATAACCTTCATGTAGATTCACCAATTATCAGATTGCTTCATTTTCTCCTGGGTAGATTCAGGACGAATTTTGGCAAGAAGTCTACAAATATAGTGATATGTACTTCATCACATCAGGAGCCATAAAATATTAGGTTGTCTCATTTATTGCTGTTGCTAAGTGTGATCGCTTGGTTAACAGATGGCAGCTGCCAGAATTCTCCATTGTAAGAGTACAGCTTTCCTTTTGTAATTAATCTGTGAAGTAGTAATTTGAGACCTCATGTATGTCTTGTTCTCCAAGAACCTTTCGTCCAGGGATTTTTTTTTTAATGTATTTATTCATGAGAGACCCAGAGAGAGAGAGCGAGAGAGAGAGAGAGGCAGAGACACAGGCAGAGGGAGAAGCAGGCTCCACGCAGGGAGCCTGATGTGGGGACTCGATCCCGGGTCTCCAGGATCAGGCCCTGGACTGAAGGTGGCGCTAAACCGCTGAGCCACCTGGGCTGCCCAGCCTAATCATTTTGTTTTGTTTTGTTTTTTAAAGATTCTATCTATTTATTTTAGAGAGAGAGGGTTAAAAAAACTTTAGCAGACTCCATGCTCAGCACAGGCTCCATGAGGGCTCGATCTCAGGACCCCAAGATCATGACCTGAGCTGAAACCGAGTTGGACATTTACCCAACTATGCCACCCAGGTGCCCCTAAACCTAACCATTTTAGTGAATAGATAGACCTTTAATTTGAAAAGAGAATTACATGGGGATTAAAGTACTGGATTTAACTTTTAGCATTCCTAATGTTATTTCACAGAGTATTGAATATACTTACAGTACTTTAGTTGTCATAGTCACCATAAACATAGTTATCAAAGAAGTTATGACCAAAGAAATATGTAAGTCATAGGCTGAACACTGCTGAACTTAATACTACTGATGTCTTGCCTGATCATGTGAGAAAGTCACAAGATCCAGAAAGGCTAGGGTGGCCATGGCCTTGCTCTGTTATGTGCCATGGCTTCCAAGTAGGCAGTATATTAGAGAAATTGAGAAGACAAAAGGACCTGGTAAAGCACAAGAAATGGTGTATTCTTCTTTTTAAACTGTTTATTATGGAAATTTTCAAATATCCAAAGGTAGGTAGAAAAATACAGTATAATCTCATAGTCCTGTCGTCTAGCTTCCATAATATACTTATGCCCAGTCTAATTTCATCTAAGTTTTTCATTAATTTTCCCCCTCAATATTATCTTGAAAAACTTAAGACATCATTTCTGTGCTGAAATATTTCAGTTTATAAAGCTGACCATAACCACAATATTACTATATCTAAGTGAATGATCATTCCTTGTAATTGAATGTCCAGTCAGTATTCAAATTCCTGATGGTTCAATGAATGTAAGAATTTTTTTTTTTGCAGCTGTTTTGTTTGAATCAGGATCCAAGTAACTCACATTATGATTGGTTTTTGTGCCATTTGTCTTTTTTTTTTTTAAAGATTTTATTTATTTATTAGAGAGTGCACTCAAGTGCAGGGTAGTGGGAGAAGGAGAAGCAGGCTCCTCGCTGAGCAGGGACTCCCATGCGGGACTTGATCCTAGGATCCTAAGATCATGACCTGAGCCAAAGACATTTAACCGACTGAGTTGCCCAGGTACCTGTGCCATTTGTCTCAATTTATGGGTTCTATTTCCATCTCTTGTTTTTTCTTGCTATTTGTGAAAGAAACAAAGTTCTGTAGAATTTCTCACAGATTAGATTTTGCTGTTTGCATCTTTGTAATGTAGTTTCACATGTTCTCACCTACATTTTCTATAAATTGCTAGTTGAATCTACAAATTTGATCATGTTTAGGTTTATTATTTTTGAAAAGATCACTTCATAGCTGGTGTGTTGTCTCATAAAAAGATACCTAATGCTTAATGGGCTCTCATTTTCTTTTCTTTTTTTTTTTTTTTTAAAAGATTTATTTATTTATTTATGATAGACATAGAGAGAGAGGCGGAGACACAGGAGGAGGGAGAAGCAGGCTCCATGCTGGACTCGATCCCGGGACTCCAGGATTGCGCCCTGGGCCAAAGG